CTTTGCTGGCTTCGTCCTACACATTTTTGTATTTGTGTCTCTTACCTGTCGGTTTTTCCGTTGCATCCGGTTTGAAATCACAACGATTCTAAAGAAGTTTTCACTTCAATAAAAAAGTTCAATATTTTTTCTCATCTTCAACAACGCTGAGGTACTTGTGCAACCTTAATTTCCCTTGATAAGTAATTTCGTACCTGACATTAAAACAGCAACGCTGTAAGCACAACAACGGCGGACCACTAATTAAATTTAAATTATTAATCCCTTTAATTATTTTCTTCCAGTCCTCGATTTTAGAATAACAACTGAACGCGTATTTTCATTTAAGGCCTTCTGTTCACACATAGCTTTTATATGCGGATACTGAATGCAAAACAATCCTTGAAATTACACTGAAATCTATTTAATTGTTAAGTAACCGACCGGCTAAGTGATTCAATTTCTAAAAATATACACTTTAAAACATGAACATGCACGCAACTGTATATAGGTATTACCACGTCACAAAAATAAGAAACCTTGAAAAAATAATAGGATTATACAAAACAGACTAAGAAAAATTCATTCTTCTTCTTTGTCTCGGCCTTATCCCACTAGGTACAGGTCTAGGTCGGCACAACGATTTTTTTTATTCCATTCTCTTCTATCAGCCGTCATCTCAACACTCACTCCTTTCTCCCTCATATCGTCATTCACACACTCCATCCATATCTTCTTCGTTCGACCTCTTCCCCCTCTATCTTGTACTACCATTAAATTTCTACAACTATACTCGTTAAAATAAGAACCCTTGAAGGACCCTAGAAAGATTAATAGAATTTTTAATAGCAAAACCGACTAAGAACAATTCATTATTTATTGTATTAGCGGACATATTTACATGTGAATTGTAATTAGTATCCAAAGAGCGTAAGCCAAAACAACTATTAATCATAGGATGTTTTAATAACATCCACAAAAGATTCCAATTTTCTCCATGTACTGCTGATGCTGGGCGTTTTATTTAGTCTAAGAATCTGATGAAGAATCATATGACTCTGTGGCAACATAAGTTTTATAAATTGCCAATAGAAAAGCCCAAAGGCACTACACCGAGTCTTATACTAAAAGAATCCTTTTGACATTCCCTGACTGATTCGGTGGTACAGTAATTAGCGCTCCTGATTGTGGCGCCGAGGGTCGTGGGTTTGATTTCCACTTTGGGCAAACTTTCGTGTGACAAACAGGTTAGTTTGCACTGTTGGATCTATATAAAGTTATTTAAACGTGTATGTCAATCTCTGGTACCCAGACAAGGAAAGCTAATTTTAAGTGATTTGTTCCCAGTTATTTATTCATTAATTATTCAGGCAGCATCACCACCTAGATTTTACGATGTTTGGCCAATTCGTTTTTTTTCTCCTACCTATGCTGATAGCCTTGAGAGACTATTTCAGCTTCTCCTTAACGTGTAGGTGAGCTCGCGGGGCTCAAACCGAGAGTGTTGCTAACACTGGCCCTAGCAAGAGCAGTGCTTCGCAGAATCTACCACCGGATCGGAATCGCGACCCACTGAGAAGATTCGGCGAGAAACTCAGTGGGCTCGTGCGACGAAATAGATTGTTTTCTCTGTTGGATGTATATATTTAAGCTTATATCAATCTCTGGTACCCATAACACAGGAAAACATAATTTGGGGCCTCATGATCGTGTGTGATTTGTTCCCAGTTATATATTCATTATTTATTTTTTATTCAAGGAGATCACCAGCTAGATTTTACGATGTTTGGCCAATTCGTAATTTGCTTTGTTTAGCCTGTTCGATACGCTATTATGTGGACGTAATCACAATTAAGTTATCTATCCGTAATCTAAATATTTAAAAAAATAGAAATTCCGTATAAATCGTGGAAGGAATCGCCAACTTTAACCAATTTTCCTTTTTGGTCGAGCAATAATTAAAGCGGTTTTCCCACCTTTATGAAGTAAGCGAAATATTTTAATTAGGCTGTCCGAACTCACACGGCCGATGCGAGACGTAGCGGAGTTCATGCAAGAGTGAACCAGTCTCTGAATAACTTCTTACTTATGACACATCTCAGAGAGGAAGCGAGTCCAGTATTTTCAACTAATGTTACTAGTTATAGCTACTAGTTAGTATTTTTCTAGAATCTGCTTTATAACAATATAAATGCTCTGCTTACAGCGAATTGCTTCGTGAACGCATCCGTTTGTCCATAAAAGGCGTACAATATTTTTATAAGCCGGAACATGTGCTATCTATTTATTCGTAATAATAATTATCATAGCGTTATTACTTAAATTTATAATATTGACACTAAATATTGGTTAGAGTTTTGAAAAATCAATGCTTCAACACCCTCGTTTTCATTTATGAATGAAACGTGAATTTTCTCAGGATGACTTTACCTTAATCTAGTGATTCTCAACGACCTGTAACAACATTTTTATGTGAGGCTTAAAGTTTACCGCCCATTTTAACATATACATATATATATTATTTCTAACTATAAAATTTTATACAGTATTCACAGGTAAGTAAACAACTTTATAGTTATCTGTTTCGTATCTTCCGTGGAACGTTGAAGTAATTAAAAATGTGCCGCTAGTAAAAGTTGAAAATCCCTACCATAGTCTACGGTCTATAAACTGTCTGCCTCTGCCAACCAAAAAGCAACCTAAGCGTAAAAGAAGAATAAACCTACAAAAGTACTTCCGCATCTAAAATATTAGTATCATAATATTACAAAATATCCAATTAAATTCAACCGAATATTCCGTAATCCTTGTTACGTCAAAGATTAACCTTTTGTGGTATCGAAAAGGCACGTTTGCAAAAAAAATCATCAAAAAAACTAAATTTAAAAATAACAGTTTTTTTTCTTCCCCTTCGCATAAAGCCGTCCAAAAGTCTCACGCGAGCGCATGTTTGACATCGAGCACGAAAGCGCTGTACTCCAATTTGTGATTACAGCGCTTTTCCCGCAAATACGAAAAACCTAAGCGAAAAGTACGACACGAGAACCTGTGAGTTGATTAAATTGTACGTATAAAATATAAATCGCTGATTCAATGTTGTAAAATAGAGAGATAAATCTTGTTGTACCCTATCGCTATCTCTGTCACTCACGTTTGTGGGTCTTAAAAGTTTTTGTTCTCAACGTGCGACGATCTCTTTCAGTTCTCTGAGTGACGCGATTATCCCGGGATTCGAATCTTTTTTGAGAGATTACTGGCAGCCCGGAGGCCTTTCCATGTTTTACCAGGACAGGTGGGCGAGCAACAGCTCAACCAGAAGGGGTAGGATTTGCTAACAGCTACCCGAGCGCCTCCAAAGGAGACCTAACAACTCGAGAGTAGCTGCTTCGCGAATAAATCTACTACCGGGTCGGAATCGCGAGAACCGCTCAGAAGATCCGGCGAGAAACTCAGCGGGCTGATGTTTAGGTTAGGTTGCAGGTTGAACTTTTTGTCGAGTTCGACGAGTATGGTTACCTGGGTAGGAACTACTCTACCAAATTTTGGCAATTATGAATCTATAAAATATATCCGCAATCAGCGTTCAGTGAAAGTTTTTGACTGACCAAGCATATTTTGCAGAATAGAATTTATTCAAATTTATTTCCTACTTATATTTAGGAAAATCCCGTAATGCTTTCCTGTTACAAGTCTCTAGTACATTTAAACTAAATTAATGTCTCTATTGCGCTTGAGGCGGCACTGGCGTCCATGAGCTACGGCAACCACTCACCATCAGGTGAGCCGTATGCTCGTCTGCTTACAAGGGCAATTTTCTTTATTGCTTAGGTGGGTGGTCAAGCTCACAGCCCACCTGGTGTTAAGTGGTTACTGGAGCCCATAGACATCTACGACGTAAATGCGCCACCCACCTTGAGATATAAGTTCTAAGGTCTCAAGTATAGTTACAACGGCTGGCCCCACCCTTCAAACCGAAACGTATTACTGCTTCACGGCAGAAATAGGCAGGTTGGTGGTACCTGCCCGCGCAGAATCACAAGAGGTCCTACCACCAGTACTAAAAAAAAGCTTTCCCGTAATTGTCAACACGTTGTATTAAGCAATACGAAGTGTCTCTAAAATAGTTCTAGGTATATAATATTATAGTATTTTCCGTGGTAATGTAAACAGCTGACCTAAACCACGAAAACTGTAAACCATCTGAAATGTCGGAAATAATAAAATAAAAATAATAGTTTAAAAAAACTAACAAAATACGCTTTTATAGAAAATCGAACTAAAAAAAATAGAAAATAAATTTCAATAAATTTGAATTAAAAATAGTGTAAGAAAAAATAATTTTATTGTAAAAAAAAGCGTGGGGTGCATGGTATCAGTAGTCATAAATATATTATGAACAGCCTCACGTTTTTTTGGATTTTCTATAATAGCGTATTTTTTTAGTTTTTTGAAACTATTATTTATTTGTCATTTTTCAGTTGAATTTCAATAAAAAATTTTAATATTGAATCGTCATCGGTCCTTAATAAGTACGCCAAATTTCGAGTTAATCCGACGTTTTGAAGGGGGTCAAAATCATGTTCAAAGATTCCGTTAAATACTAACTATGTATGTTAGCTGCGTCTGCTGTATGTTACCTTCTGAACCTAATAAAAGCGTATTAAAAATAATAAGACCGATATTAAGCCGTAAAACTGATTTCGATTAGGTTTTGTATTAGTTCCAAAATGATTTGATTAGCTAGTGAACAAAAATTCACTGATCAAAACAAAAAGCGTCTCAGAGGAACGTTATATTAAAAATATTGAGAAATAAGAACATCAAATTATTCTCGTCTTGAAGGCAAACTATTTTAATGGAATCAATCGTCCGATATCCTGTAAGGCACACTTAATACTCTTTTTTGTCGCATTGACCTTACAAATATGACAATCATTTTTTAAACTTCAAAATTCTCATGTCAGACGCTGCATTTTGTGTAAATACATAAAATATTTCCAATTTAAAATGATCAACGATTGATGGATAACCAAACGCAGAAAGCTACAGACACGACCGCGGATGAAACAAAAACAATAATAGTAAATAATAATGAAAGTGCAAACGAAGTGTCGGAGAATGATAACGCTGGACCGTCATCGGTGAATGAATTACCGGGATCCGTACCAACGGTTCACAAAACTGGAGTTTCCAAATCAGAGCACAACATCCGCCAAATAGTAACAGTCAAAGATGTATCGAACGCTTTGAAATCGATTAGCTTCAACCCAAACGCAGACTCTAGAGCAAATAATGAAATTTTATCAAAGGACGATCCGGCGACTTTTGTTGATTTAAAGAATTTTATGGCTTCATGCTTTAAAGGAATAAGCGAGAATGTAGTCGTTGCTGATATACCAAATGTACACGCTGTTACCAGAATCCAAAACGACACCCAAGTCTTAGCGCCCTTGAATAACAACGATGCTCGAACCAACGAAATCATACCAAATGAAGTCATAGTAACTGCAAAAACCGAAAATAAGCTGTCGAAACTTGGTACCGATAAGAAGAAAACTTCTGGTGGCCTATCGGAAAGATCTGATTTGGTTTTGGCACAAAGAGACTCCATTTCGAGTATTGGTTCAAACGTTTGCAGAATTTGTATGACTCGCGGACGGGAAAGGTTAGCATTAGGGGGTAATGGAGAATCGGTATTTGTTATTAGTTTTAGTTTGAGATCGTTATCTGTATGTTTTTCGAGAATACTTGCGTTCAGAACGAAGTTTTTCATATTCCTATTATCCTTTATTGTCCATTGACTTAACATAAGTGGAATTGGTTTAATTTTTTCGGTGTCGTTCGTGTTTTGGGAGACTTTTATGGTTAATGTTAGTAAAAATACATATTTAATGCATTCTGTCTTTTAAGGGGTACTATTTTTTATTGCTTTGGGTTAAGGTTGCATAGGGCATCTGATGGTTAATAGTCACTGTCGCTAATGGACGTAAGCAATGCCAAAGGCACAGCGAACCTTCTTTGACACCTCTAGGGATATGAAGAGATCATCTTGTACAATTTATCAGAGCACTTCCCATGGAACATACGTTACAAAACACAGAGAGAAGCAAAAACCCTTCGCAGATCCAGAGGTTTCAACCGATCTGTGAAAATGGAATTATCTAACAATCAACCTATACTAACAGTCAATTACCAAACATTATTGTTGTTATTTTTGTACTGAAGGCTGAAAATTTAAATGATTATTTCAAAATTTCGATTGTTATTAAGGACGAGGTTCTAAAGGTTAACAAAACAACAAATAAATTTTCTAATAACCTAAGAAGTATTTACAATAAAACGCAAAATAACTTGGTACTTGCCTTACATTCGATTACATCTTTAACATCCAATATAACTGGAACTATTAATGTTTTAGGCTAATCTCACCTTGCAACTGCAAAGGATCCCTGGCAAACGTACATTTGACTTGTCTTGAAAGATGGCTGAACCAAGTGGGGAGAAATCATTGTGAGCTGTGTGGTTTTAGGTAAGATAATTTTCAAGTTCGAACGATTTATAAGCTGAGTACCGTAAAATAATGATTTTGTGGCACTAATTGTAATCAGTATAGCTTGGATCATTACTTCATCAATAATTCTAAGCTCTAGATGAAAAGGATTCTTTAATCTCTTCGGGAACAGACGGTTCAGTGACTTCAAACGGAGCTGCTGCATAGGTTTAATTAAAGCACTTTTACGATTTAATCTTGTGTTTTTTATTGTCAAAATATTCTTTATAAACGCTTTAAATACTTTACACTTTTTGTGATAGCCGATGGATATAATATAATGGCAATAAAAAACACGTGATTAAGCCGTGAAAGTGGTAAAAGAAGCATTGACCTAACTCGGTGATGCGATAGTTAGCGCCTCTGATTGTTCCTAACGTTTTACTTTGTTCTTTGAGAGCGAAATAGAAATAAGAACTATCACTATCGATGAATCTGTTTAGAGAGAAATATTGCGAGCGAGAAACTCAACAGTTTTAGTAAGCGTAGTTGAAAATTATTCGATAGTAAAATTCGTTGAGTGGATTTCGATTTACGAACGGCAACCAGACCAGCATTGCGAAGCATTGCAGATTTCAATTTAATCCAGCCGGCAAACAAGCGAAACAATTAATATCGGAACTGGTACCGCCGGGATATTCGATTGTAAAAAGTTTCCTAGCGTACTTGAGTGTTGTTTGCAACTAACTCTCGTTGCGCAGTGGACGAGACTTATTATTTATTATTCGTTGCAATAATTTCATAAATAGATTTGATTAAGCTGTTGAATATTGAGGTAATTTAGTTGAAGGCAAAACGTGTACGCTAAGCACGAGATAGCTTGATGATCTTGCCTATTTGTGCTACGAAGTGACTTTGACCTTTCATAACACTATTTTAATTATTGCTTAGATACTTAGACACTTAATACCCGATTGACGAACTCACCTCCCGCCTGATAAGTAAGTTAAGCAGTTACCGGGGCCCAAAGATAGCAACAACATAAATGCCGTCACATACCTCGATAGATATAAGCTTTATAGTACAACGTGAAGTCGTCGTGGCTTAAAGGATAAGACGTCCGGTGCATTCGTATGTAGCGATGCACCGGTGTTCGAATCCCGCAGGCGGGTACCAATTTTTCTAATGAAATACGTACTCAACAAATGTTCACGATTGACTTCCACGGTGAAGGAATAGCATCGTGCAATAAAAATCAAACCCGCAAAATTATAATTTGCGTAATAACTGGTGGTAGGACCTCTTGGGAGTCCGCACGGGTAGGTACCACCACCCCGTCTATTTCCGCCGTGAAGCAGTAATGCGTTTCGGTTCGAAGGGTGGGGTAGCCGTTGTAATACTGAGACCTTAGAACTTATATCTCGAGGTGGGTGGCGCATTTACGTTGTAGATGTCTATGGGCTCCAGTAACCACTTAACATCAGGTGGGCTGTGAGCTCGTCCACCCATCTAAGCAATAAAAAATTAAAAAAGTTTCTCCCACCCTTCAAACCAAAACCCAAGACTGATTTACGGCAGAAATAGCCAGGGTGAATACGCAGACGAACACGCGATCCTCAGAGAAGTTGAAAGGCCTAATAATATCGTAATACGGGTATCCTAGCCTTAAAGCCAAGAAAATTCTTTGTGGCAGTAAAAGATAAAATCGTAGGTAGGTAGCAATTTGTGCTGAATAACAAGCTCGCCCTACAAGCAGTAAACTTGGGGCAAAAGCAGGAAGGATTTGGGAAGAAGTTAATTATGTTGAGGGTGATATTACTACACATGTTACAGCGAACTCAAAACAATATTTCTATATCTATATTTCTCTTTGAAGAAGACATCATAGAGAAAGTCTTTCACCGAATTAATGCTCTATAGACCGTCAGAATGTTGCAACAAACTTGTATATATGCAAAGTCATCTTTACATCCACTTAACATCATCCTTCTTTTTTTTTTTTTTTTTTTATGATTGAAGAATTACTGGTGGCCCGGAGGCCTTTCCAGTTTCACCAGGACAGGTGGGCGAGCAAAGGCTCAGCCAGGAGGGGTGGGATTTGCTAACAGCTACCCGAGCGCCTCCGAAGGAGACCTAACAGCTCAAGAGCAGCTGCTTCGCGAATGAATCTACTACCGGATCGGAATCGCGACCCGCTGAGAANTAGCGGAGCGACGATATCGAAGGCGAGATTATCGACTAACGCGTCAAGCCGCCTGCCATTCGGGGTTGTGGTGTGTGAGTTCCACCTAATGTGTTTACAATTTAGGTCGCCCGCCAGAATGACAGAGCTCCCCATGCCGAGCAGCGCCTCGATATCACTGCTTAGAACGATCTTATCCGGTGGAAGATAAACGGACGCGTTAACATCATCCACTTAACATCAGTTGGACTGTGAGCTCGTTCACCTATCTAAATAATAAAAAAATGTTAGTTCTCCTAATTCACATGTGAGCAAAAAACAACACCTCCAGATGGTCTCTATACCTCAGTCTAGGAAAGAAAATGATAATCATATAAAATAAGCTGCGATCGAAAATTCTCACTCAGGATCTTAACAATTTTCGATTCAATAGAGAATTCACGGATTTGTGGTTATGAAGAATTGAATTCGATTTTCCATACGAATTGAGAATCGAACTAATGAAGCGTGTATTGATCGAATTTGATTGATAAAGAAATTTTATTACATACTGATGAGTGAAATTATATTACAAGTTTTTTTTTTTCAATATAAATTATCTCACGATAATACGCTTCTTTGTAAAGTTCTATCCAACTCGAGATCTGAATTTCAAGTTTAAACTTCATTGTTCTAGTATATTCTTCGGTTTTCACGAATCTTAGTCATATTTAAACTTCTTTTACGCTTTGAGCTCCCGCGTTTTTTACTGTCATTGGTTTTGACGTTACGAAAACCTCTACAGTTTTCGCGAGGTCACGGACGACTAATGCTTATTCGTCCACACTTGAATTTTGTGCTGTCGTCTATTTTTCTATAAAAAAATTCTAGACTTTTACGTTTCATTTTAAATGAATTTTTTTTTATTGCTTAGATGGATGGACGAGCTCACAGCCCACCTAGTGTTAAGTGGTTACTGGAGCCCATAGACATCTACAACGTAAAGGCGCCACCCACCTCGAGATATAAGTTCTAAGATCTCAGTATAGTTACAACGGCTACTCCACCCTTCGAACCGAAACGCATTACTGCTTCACGGCGGAAATAGGCGGGGTGGTGGTACCTACCCGTGCGGACTCCCAAGAGGTCCTACCACCAGTGATTACGCAACTTATAATTTTGCGGGTTTGATTTATATTACACGATGTTATTCCTTCACCGTGGAAGTCAATCGTGAACATTTGTTGAGTACGTATTTCATTGGAAAAATTGGTACCCGCCTGTGGGATTCGAACACCGGTGCATCGCTACATACGAATGCACCGGACGTCTTATCCTTTAGGCCACAACGACTTCGAAACACATAACGATCTAAAATTATCTTGAGGTTATGCTTCTCTCAAATGAGGCCGTCAGCGCAAAAGTAGTCTAACCCACAATTCATATCCATGCTTATGTATTGCAATTTATATAAAACATAATAAATTTTGATGCAAATTCGACCTATCCCTAGTTTCAATCCATAGATAACAGATGACTTTGTAAACATCATTTTATCGCGTTTTTTTTTGCCTACGAAATATTGTAATGGTAAATTTTTTTTTGCGCTGACGGCCTCAAATGTCAATACACTGTTTTTCCCGCCTTGCTTAGCGGCAGAAATAGGCCATCATCATCATCATCATCATCAACAGCCCACAGTCGTCCACTGCTGGACATAGGCCTCTCCCAATCTACACCACTGAGCACGGTCTGCAGGCCATATAATGTATCAATATATCGTCTTCTCGCATTAAAACTGTATAATTTCAAAACTTACTAAATTTTACAGAAGAGTGTTTTAAAAGTTTAAACATATGATATTTTTAATAATAATCATCTTGGCAACATTTATTTTTTAGTTTTTACCAGTTACATTATCTGTCTTTTAAAGTAAGATAAAATTATGTATTAATTTTGTTAATAGTAGTCAAAATATAGGTAAACTAAAAACAAAAAAACTAAAACTAAACTACGCTCTTTTGACAGTATTTATGAGTAAAATACTGGTGTTACCAAATGATTCCGCATATTAACTCAATTTCGAATATTTTTGGAAATTGTACCCTTTTAATGCGAAAAAACGATATGCCGACTCACAATAAGATATACAGCTGGGTTAAATAGTAAACGATATAGAGTTGTGATAGAGCTTTGTATTGTCCTCAGTAACCGTACTCGTCGAACTCGACAAAGAGGTCAACGTGCAACCTAGCCCATACATCAGCCCGCTGAGTTTCTCGCCGGATCTTCTCAGCGGGTCGCGATTCCGATCCGGTAGTAGATTCATTCGCGAAGCAATTGCTCTTGAGTTGTTAGGTCTCCTTCGGAGGCGCTCGGGTAGCTGTTAGCAAATCCCACCCCTCCTGGCTGAGCCTTTGCTCGCCCACCTGTCCTGGTGAAACTGGAAAGGTCTTCGGGCCACCAGTAATCACTCAATCATAAAAAGCTTTGTATTGTTGTAAAATGATTCAATCGATACGTTTCAAATGTTCACAGCTATCCGGCAATTCGGACCCCCCGTTACACGGTGCTACAAGCGCTCAGGCTGTGGTTCGGCAATCCGCGCAATCGAAGCCATTTGCAGGTGAGGTTCCGTGTTTCGAAAACATTTATGTGGCTATTAGATGCCGCCTATATCTTCCCTTCAATTTTATACCTTTAAACGAGCAATTCTTGTATATATATAATCTGAATCTCGGAAACGGCTCCAACGATTTTCATAAAATTTAGTATGCGCAGGATTTCGGGGGCGATAAATCGATCTAGCTACGATTTATTTTCAGAAAATGTTGTTTTATTCGTGTTTTCAATAATCAACTCTTCCCGACATCTAATGGCGAATAATAATACTATTTTTTTTAATTGAGGGCAACTAACCGCTTTAAAGACACAACAAGATGGCGTTATCAAAAAAAAAAAACGAGCAAAGCTTGGTCATCATCTAGTTAGAATAGAAAGATATAGAGGAACATTCGCAAATTTTGCTTTTCGTTTATTTTACTGGTGGCAGGACCTCTTGTGAGTCCGCACGGGTAGGTATCACCGCCCTGCCTATTTCTGCCGTGGAGCAATAATGCGTTTCGGTTTGAAGGGTGGGACAGCTATTGTGCTTTATAAAGTGAGACCTTATAACTCTTGTTTTAAGAAGAATGGTGGCATTTACGTTGTAGATGTCTATGGGCTCCGGTAACCACCTAACGCCACGTGGACTGTGAGCTCGTCCATTCATATAACCAGTAAAAAAAACTGCTTGTCACGGGTTTTGTAGATTCGATTACGTATCGTTCGTTATCGTATATTTACCAAAAATTACTTTTTATGTTTAAATTATTATATCACAATTTTAAAAAGCAGACTTATCTGACATACGTCTGTTGGAAAGTACACACCGCCCGACGTAACTTTAATTTCATTAGAAAAACTGGATGTAGCGCTATGGAAATACTGGAAGAAAAAAATTTACAAGAGATTTTTTAACATGGCTTAAAGAGCGTTCTCCCTAAAACTTTGTTTATTTATTTCGTAAATCGATGAACGAGCTGAAGGCTCCTTGTATGTAACGGTTACTGTAGCCCACAGACGTGAATAATCCCCTCCTGGCTGAGTCTTTACTCGCCCACCTGTCCTGGTGAAATTGGAAAGGCCTCTGGGCGACCAGTGATCCCTCATTCGCAAAAAAGAAAGCGTGAATATCACCACCCATGTTGACACTGGTTTGGTGTTACACGGTGCTATTCTTACTTCATCGCGGAACTCACTCGTGATATGGATTAAGGTCGTATTTCATTCGAAAAAAATGTACCTGACAACTTCATAAACACGCCATGTAGGTACTAAAAATAGAAGACTCTAGTCAAGCTGATTAACTTTGTTAGTGAGTAATAAAGTGCCAATAATATCGTACGCATATTATGTGCCGTTTCCGACTTTGAAATGAGCTCCCCTCTACGATCTTTCCCGAGCGCTATGACCTCCTTCTTCAAACAAGGCTTGTGGAGAGTATTAAGCGGTATGCAGCGGCTTGGCTCTGCCTCTGGCATTCCTGAAGTCCATAAGCGACGGTAACCACTCACCATTAGGTCGGCCGTATGCTCGTCTGCCTACAAGGGCTATAAAATATATATATTAGACGCTCGAATGTGCATGTAGATCACAGTTTTTATTTAACAAAATGAAAACTTTATGCACAATGTTTGGTAATCTTTTTTTTTTTCTACGTATGCTGATGATAGCCTTGAGAGGCTATTTCAGCTTCACCCTAGCGTGCAGGTGAGCTCACGGGGCTCAAACCGGTAGTGTTGCTAACACTGGCCTCCTAGCAAGAGCAGTGCTTCGCAGAATCTACCATCGAATCGGAAACGCGACCCACTGAGAAGATCCAGCGAGAAACGCAGTGGGCTATGTCTATGGGTTATGTCGGTAATCGATAAGGCTGTGTGATATCGGTTTTATAGCGGTATACCCCAAGCAAAATGTTCAATTCTAACTGTGCACCATTTGCAACAACACGTCCGTCCCTATAATAAATATCTTTTGCGTTTTTTGTCGCTTTTTCATATGTGAGTATATTTTTTCCACTTATTTTCGATCGAAACCATGTGGGCTTTTAAAACGACATTCGTGCAAAGGCGGTAAGCGTTTGTTTATACCGACGAGAGAACTCGAGCATCGGGACAATGGGTTGATTTTATTCGTTTCTTTTTTGTTGTTTTTTTTTTCGTTTTAGCGCATTTTGCGAGATGTCATAATATTTTTTTTACTTTTTGTCGGGATGAACAAGCCCATAAATACTACTTGAAAGCCACCAGTTCTCCTAGAACTCGAGTCGCTTGCGACGAAGGGTTCGGTGAGTAAACTAACCCACAGACACAGCCCACTGAGTTTCTCGCCGGATCTTCTCAGTGGGTCGCGTTTCTGATCCGGTGGTAGATTCTGCGAAGCACTGCTCCTGTTAGGGCTAGTGTTAGCAAATTGTCTCAAATTGAGCCCGTAAGCTCACCTACCCGTCCGGGCATATCTAGAATAGCCTCTTAGTCTACCAATGAATAGGTGAAGAAAAATAATAATCACTTTTTGACATGTTTTACCTCTTCGATAATTAAGCCATGGTATAACGTAAATATTTGAGGACGATGGTAACAAGGATTGTTTTTGTGTAACAGGACACACTGTCCTTAAAATCGAATCGCTATTTCTTAGTGGCAGAAATCCTGGAAACACGATCAATTCTGCCAATAAAATGGAACAACCAATGAAATGCGGTAGTCGACAAATTCAAAAATTCACATCTCGATCCCCGATCGAAGACGTAAGTCAAATAAATAACGTCTTCAAGAAGTAAAAACTGACGTTTTCCTCGAGGAAGTAACTCCAATTCTAAATCTGTTGATAGATTAATTTTAAATATGGAAATCCTTTGATGCTTAATAATCTCAAGCAAATCCCGCCCGTTGGATGTGATTTAATAACGTCACGTTGTTTTCGGAGCTTCGATGACAGGCTTAATCATAGATTATACACTTAATATATTAGAGATAGATGCGCAACTCTCATTTTTATTTTTGCTTTAGTTAAAGCCCGGTCCAGCAGGCGTCGCTACGGTCGATTATTAGTCTCCCTACCCCCCACCAGGTGGCTTTTTTAGTAATTTTAATATTTTTAATAACTCTCTTTATGAAAAAATCTTATCGTTTAGAATCGCTGGAATTCCCGGTAGTACTTATGAGATATTAAGGAATGTTTGATTGTGTTCAGCATTCTAATCGATAAGATCTTTTCATACAGAGAGAAAACAGTTTTTTAAAATAAAAAGCTGTAATTCTCTGTAAGCTATTTAATTTCCCTATATTACAAACAATTTTCGGTTAAAAGATTGTATGAACGTACAATTGTATAAAACTTCGAATAACAATAACTCCTCTAGATTAATCCTACTAGCGTACTTATTAACATTAAATCGAAAGTTATCTAAAAGTTAATTAAGTCTAGATAATCAAATCATTCAATGTCAATTAAGTCATTTGTGCGAAATATAAACATGTCAGCTTTCCATTATAAACATNGTTTCTTTTGTCAGTTTTTACATTTGAGAACACTGAATAATCTTTCCACCTCAGTCTTTGAAGAAGGAACTGCTAGCAAAAGTGAAATGACAATTACAAGGTTTTCGTAAATGAAATTACCATGATAATCTTTCATGGTACATGAAGTACCTGTATATTACAATACAAGTAAGTTCTGGTGACATCAACGAAAATAGGTAAATAAAAGTTTGGCGGATTATACTTATTGGGATTCTGGGGAATCCCTAAGAAAAAAGCAGTGGCTTAATCTATGATTTACTTTACTAGAGGGTTACTGTTGAATCAAACCTTCTTAATAGTTTTTATACACAACTCTGTTTTATTCTTTTACTTGTCAACTCGACTTAATGTCATTCTCTCTCCATAAAATAAAATGTTCATTGTTTTACTTTAAAAACCGTTTATTTTAAAATTCACAACAGTTACTAGTATAGGCTTTGCTTTTTACCCCGAAATATCCTAAATCCTGGTATTTTTTAAATTGTCTTTATCATCCAAAATATCAGCTATTTTTCCCTAAAAAAGGGAGAATTCCCTAAAAGTGGAAGCACTGCTTCAAAGTACGCTAACCTTTTTTGAGTCAGAACTCGTATCTGCCATCTAGTGAGTTTATTAGTTCATTAAGGCCAAAACGTTTCAAAAATGACCTCGCCGGTTCCTAAAGATGACGCTAGTTGAATGTTCTTTTCCTTTGTATGGGAGTTGCACCCCCCTGGGCTTAATCATATGTCACGTCGTATTAAATTAAAATATCGTATACGTGAACGATGTGCTTGTGTGTTTAATCTATAAACGAGAATAAACGGAATCGAGGCCTTTTGATTTTTGCTTTCCTCTGTTGTCAATATACCGTCGAGGCACATCACTATAGTCGTATTTATAATTAGACGGACTTTTTGGCAGGAACGCGAGGAGTGAGGTTGTGTGATTTGTTTTATTTTGTCTATTTAGTGTTTCTTCGGGTTTAAATGTGTAATAATGGTGGTTTAATAACTGTTTAATATCTGTGAAAGTGCACAAATGTGGGAAAATGAAACAAAGCCGCTGGACGTAACTTCTCAGGATCCTCCAAAAAGTCCACTGAAAAAATCTTAGTAAATGACCACCATTTTACTGAGATTATATTTCATCCCATATCATCTCAATTCATTTCATTTAATTTCATCCCAGTTGATTAGTGTCTCAAATTAATCATCTTCATTTCATTTCACTCCATAATATCATTTTTTATAAAAATATGAATCATATAAATTAAAATAAGACATGACTTAAAGGTTTCAGTTACCAGGTCATAAAATCTCTTAAAAAATAATAATTAGACGAAGCCAACTGACAGCTAATGTCACTGTAAAATAATGTTGCCATATTTAAAGTAATAGTGATGCGTTCAGTTCTCGTTCAATCAAATGAATGAAATGAATGAAGTGTGAATAGTTAATCATTTCAAACTATAAAATAATATTATTTCTATTTTACAATAAAATTGTATTAAAGTACTCTA